AGATGCTTTAAAGTTCTGTAAGAAATAGGAAGCTTTATTTGAAATTCATTTATACAGATATTAATAAACACGAGGAAAAGGGTGGAGGTATGAAGTACGAAGAAGACCATCGCAGTCTCGATGATGACAAGGGTGAACAGGTATCATTTTATAAAACTATATAAGAATTTTATAAATTCTCTGTTCTATGATAACGTAATATGATAAAAATTAATAATAGCGTTAATTTTGAGTCGCGATGCAATATCACAAATCTCCCTGGCAGCATAAGGATGTCCTCTTTCTCCTGGCAGTCGCCCTCATCATTGACGTCCAACCTACGACGTCCAAGACTCTCTCTCTCTTTCTCTCCCTTTTCATTGGCCGTAATATTAGTGTCCAAGCCGGTGTTCCCGGGGGATTATTTATTACACGGTCGTTGTTGCGCGAAACGACATCCTTGCAGCGGCCGAACGACGCTCCTTTCTTCAACGGGAAAATATTCTTCGTAAACGACGCGATGATATTTTCGCCCTCCCTCCCTTTTGTGCGTACCGGATATTGCTTCTCTCACTTTTATACCGTGAAGGCCGCTGTCCGAACGGCAATTAATTCGTTCAACCCCCTCCTTGTCATAAAATTTTTTCTCAAATTGATAGACAAGATAAACGGTCTTCAATTTTTTCCTACACTGTTTCTTTCTTATGTCTACCATAAACGCTTTTTTACGACACAAAAGACGAACGTTAGCTAAAGAGAATCCACCGATTCATCGTAATCGGAAATTATAATTTCGTGGAAATAGGGTTACAAAGTATTCGACGAGTTCGACAAGGGCGAGAAGGGACACCACGATAAGGAAAATCATAAGAAGAGCTACGCCGAGAAGGAAGGCGAGGAGGAGACGAAGCACGAGGAGGCGGACCATTACGACGAGAGCCACCGCGGCGAGGACGGTGAAAAGGCTGCGAAATTTGACGAGGAAGGGAAACATCAAAAGGGGTACAGTACCAAAGGCGAGCACAGTGTGTTCAAAAAGGTACGCTTAAAAAGATCACGATGCTTAGCACGACTAACGGCGGGGGAGTAATTAAATTATTATTTAATTAACGTAGACACCGGTCTCCATCCAATCTATTCCATGCTTATTAAGCTTGATGTGAAGTAAGAGTTTCTCGATTCATTTTAAACTTTCATAAAGTTCGAAATTGAATTTTTCAAACATCAAATACAGCCAAGTCCGCGTGATTTAATTAAAAAGTTAAACGGTGAGGTAAATGTTTCAGGACGAGTACGAGAAGAAACACGATTTCTACGATGAGTACCACGAAGACGGGGAGCACGAGAAACACGGCGGTTATCACCACGAGCACGAGGGCAAGAAGGGTGGACACGAGAAGAAGGGACACACCGACTCTGCTCGCCGCGAGGTCTGCACTTATTTTGTCTATTCTATTTACATAATCTTAAGCTTCTTAATTTCCACGTGCCATAAACTGTATCAATCGTATCAGCATCATCACGGTAAGAAGAAGAAGCAGGAGGAGGGTCATCATCATCGTAAGCAAAAGGGTCGCAAGCTCGACGAAGGTCACGATAGTCACCATCGACACGACAAGAAATATGGAAATAAAGGTGGACACGAGTCAGGGAAGAAATGGATTACCAGTAGCGGTCACTAAGTTACTCCAGTTCAAATTATGTTTAAAAAATGATATCATTCAGCTAGTCAACGAGAGAAAATATTAAAACAATAAAGAGTTTATAATATAATTTAGTAAAAGGTTGAACATTTCCTCGTGGAAGAATTCTGCGAGAACAGTGACGTCTTTCGTTGAATTCTTGGCCAGATATATGTATGTACGTAATACGTATGTATATACCGCGTAGAGGAACGCAAGAGGGAAGTAGTCGAACGTGGTAACAGAAAGCATGCACGTAAATAGCGGTACAGGTGTGTGAAATTGTGTCTGTTCGTTGACTATTCGAGGTGTGACAGCCCTTAATAAGTGCAGCCCCAGTGGAAAGCTCCAGGAAATGGAGTCTCCGTTATTCAGACGATGTCTATATTCCACGATGCATACATCCCATTGTTTATTAATTTACAAATATATTTTACGATCTTCCTATATTAGTTTAGTCAGTTTAATCATACTCGATCTTTCGTTCAGTATACAAGTTTCGATATAATTAAATGGAAATACTAAGGAAAGCTTCCTTAGCATTATAATTTATTATTAAAATATGACGGATCGTACTACATAGAAAATTAAATGGAAATCTTTCAGAAATTGAGTTTGCGTTCTGTTTCCGGAATTAAATTTCTAAGCATCGCAGGAGAATATGGAATATCTCTCGAAGGATAACGAAATGTTGCACCATTTTCAAGGATTCAATTCTACTTCTACAGGCATTTAAAAATGTCTGTACCAAAGGAATTGCATTTCGTAGATATTTTGTGCAGCGATTCGATCGGGAGTTTAAATTCGTAATCTAAATTCATCGAATGCCATTCCTATTTCGAATTTAAATCGAGCATTAACTCTGAATTATTCACATTTCGCTCTTTCACACGTGATGTAACGGAATTGCAAAAATNATCTTTCAGAAATTGAGTTTGCGTTCTGTTTCCGGAATTAAATTTCTAAGCATCGCAGGAGAATATGGAATATCTCTCGAAGGATAACGAAATGTTGCACCATTTTCAAGGATTCAATTCTACTTCTACAGGCATTTAAAAATGTCTGTACCAAAGGAATTGCATTTCGTAGATATTTTGTGCAGCGATTCGATCGGGAGTTTAAATTCGTAATCTAAATTCATCGAATGCCATTCCTATTTCGAATTTAAATCGAGCATTAACTCTGAATTATTCACATTTCGCTCTTTCACACGTGATGTAACGGAATTGCAAAAATTCATTATTGCACGCCACTATTTGCCGATTATTGCCAAACGATGTCTATCATTTGTATTTGATAAACTGTCAAAAATAGAAAAAAGTATAGCGACGATGTTAAAACATCGTTGCGACAGCGTGGCCGGCGCACGTCCTTTCGAGAGATCGAATAAAAGGAAATAACGGAACCGTTTCGATCACGGTAGCCGATCAACCGAGAAGCCCGTTCCGAGCGATCTTTCGCTCGGCCCGCGACGGCTATCCCGGGCGTGAAAAGTGAAAATCTTGGCGTGAAATTGGCCACGGTCCGCTAACGCGTTCCATTGTCGCGATTCCCGATGCCGTACGAATACGCCTAGCGTTATCGACTCGGTTGAAATTGCGAAGCCAGCCGTACCTCTTATCACAGTTATGGAACGCCTTCCCATTCTTCTTCTCCAAGGTTAATTAGTTCCGAACGGGACTCTCTTAACAGTTCGCGATATCGTGCAGCTGTAATATAATGCATGGCAGTAATAAAAAAAGCAATGTATGTACATGTCTTATATTTGCAATGTATGAAAGGCAGGCATTGCATAGAATA